TTGGGTGTCATTTAAAAACCATACCATTAAGATCAGCTAACAATTCAGTGTGAAATTGTAGCGGGGATTGGGCCAGTTCTGGTTGAAATCTAGGGACTGAGACAGGACTTTACAAGGGTCTCACTCAAAAGAACCTTTTCCAGGGTACAGTTTCAGAGCACCATATAAAGACGGAAAACAGTTTGAGATGTAACTTTTCCACTTTGGAACATAAAATAATGAGCTTACATTGTCACCTTCTGCTCAGAACACATGGCTGTAGGAGGAATTTTGATTATATAGAAGTATGTTCAGTCAGCTAATTCTCCTGACTTAGCAGAATTAAGTCTCCATGTGCTGCTGAAAGAGAGTGGCATTTCAGAGGGAGAGGGAGAGTCTGTTCTAGGACTGTTTCAAATGTGGGGGGCAGATAAGGATACAGTGCAGTGAGGGAAGGGATGTGGAAGGGACTAGACTAGAAAAGCAGGGTTGGGTGTGGGAAAGGGAGTGAGTGGATCTCTCTCTCTCTCTCTCTCTCTCTCTCTCTCTCTCTCTCTCTCTCTCTCTCTCTCTCTCTCTCATAATGGTCTCATTATTGTAGACCTTACTGTCTGGCCTAGAATTCCCCAAAACTATCTGCCTCTGCCATCTGAGTGCTGGGACTAAAGGCATGTGCCACCACCCTCAGCCCCTCAGTGAATACCTTTAATTTTGATTTGGAACCTGGGGGCCACATTCTTTCAGAAAGCAAAGGGTAACATTGGCATTGCTTTACACCACTGTTGAAGTGTGCCATCCTTAGCTTCTCCTTCTGTCTTTCCGGATTTCCATGTGGGTGGTCTCAGGTCAGGGTGTGGAAGGTCATATGAAGTGAGTATAGATAAGCTGGTTTATGGGATTCTGAGAATGGTGCCTTCTCTGCCGTTCTGGGTGGCTTTTGAAAGAAGTATTAAAACACAGAACCAAGGGCTTTTAATACAAAAATTAAGCACTCTTCCTTCCTTCCTTCCTTCCTTCCTTCCTTCCTTCCTTCCTT